AAATTATTCCATGTCCTACCATATGTTGCTATCACGGCTATAGTAAAATTAGAGCAGAAAGAGAGTATGATATCTTTACATAAAGTATTTTTCATGTTTGTATAAAGATGTGTGGTGAAAGCCGCGGGTAAAAGTTAGTCTTATCTATATTTTTAATAAATTTTAAATTGGAAAAAATATTAAAAATCTCAAAAAAAATTTTGGTAGTTTTTGGTTGGTTATGGTAGTTAATTTTGGTAGAAAAAAAAATGAGGCTATGGCAACACTAGTACGATAGTCCAGAACCATCGATATTGTTGCCATTGTTGCTACAACAACAACAACATATAGTGCGTTCTAGAACGTCTACGATTTGCAGGTTTTGCAGGATTTAGTCCAAAGTCGTTCCCGTACGCCACGTTCACATAAGGTTTATTAAAGGCGAAAACAGCTATCGTGAAGTACGGGAACATGCTAAGTGCAATCGAAAAGTTTCAGACTACTTGTTTTTATAGCTTTGTTTCTCAACTGTTAATTATCACTAATTTCACTGGTAAGCGTTTCTTAACCCAAAAAACTAGCAGAAACTAGCAGCTCTCTCTCGATGTTACGCTCTTCTTTTTTTTGGCTCTCCTAATTTCTGCTAGTAAAGTTTTTACTAGCAGAAACTAGCAGCTGTCAAAATGGATAAACAAAAATTCGCGCCAAATACTTTCAATAGTCAAATACACCGATCAGCTGATTACTTGCTAATTTCTGTTAGTTTTGCGTTTCTTTACTTTTTCGTTATTTCGCTCTCTGTGAGCGTAATTCTTTCAATTTCCTCATTCTTCTTCTTCCTGATAATAATCTGCTAGAAAAGAAAAGAAACAAAGCCTATATCAAGAGTAGGCACAAAACGATACCACGGAAGTATGGATACCTGTACTTCGAAGTACTATCGAAAAAAAGTATCGATGCCTAGTAAGTATCGGGCTAAAAGTATCGATACCTACTTATATCGATATTTGTACCTATATAAGAATAGTTTGCATAAAAAATGCCAACACATACAGTGTTGCCAAACGTTGGCTTTTCCTACCAAAACTGGTTGGTTTTTTCCATTTCGTAGGTTGGTAGGCTAGATTTGATTTTGGTAGGTTCCGTGACAATAATAGTTATTTCCGAAAAAAATAAAATATGTGTCTCCAAACATTTTAGCAGCCTTGTTTACATTAATATTTCACCGGTTGAGCTCATCATTGTCCACCTGACAGAGACTTCATTGCAAGACTTGAGGAATATCGCCAAAACAAACGTATTGGTCTTTCTAAAGTTATTCTTGGCTAATATCGAGTTATCCTTCTACAAACCCTACAAGGTCAGAACTCTTGAAATGACCTGCAGTGAAGTGATAATAACTATGATTGACGAAAGGTCCCACGCATGGTATACCAACGGATCAAAGATGGACGACGAGAGTACCGGCACAGGCAAATTTGGACCGAAATTCCAGAAAGACTACCAATTTACACATACCCAACTATATTCCAGGCGAAAGCCTTCGCAATTGGAGTCTGTGTAGAAAGACAAATGGGGCCAAATTAAATATTATGTCGGATAGTCAGGCAGGTTAAAGGCCTTAGACTATTTTAAAACGGCAGCAGGCTTGTGGAAAGTTATAAACTTTTTTGAACCACTTGGGAGCTCACAATAGCGTAACGCTGTGGTGGGTTCCCGGACGTGAAGGGTTTGAAGGCAACGAAAGCTGGCTGTCTCACAAAGCGTGGAGACCAAATGCACTTACATAGTCCCTAGTCTTTTGTGAGCTGGTGAAGGAAACCCCGGAGCATATTCTATGTGACTGGCACGTATCATAAATAGCAGGCTGATACACTTTGGGGAACGATTGTCTTTTTCATCCAAAATTTTAAACATGGCGCCCTCCACAGTGCCTAACTTCTTAAAGAGAATAAGGCTGGAGTGATTACAATTAAGGTTAAGCACAATACATCTTCTTAGGTCGCAGCGCGTGTATCCCAGAGGTAATAATAATAGTAATAATAATAATAATAATAATAATAATAATAATAATAATAAAAATAATAATAATAATATGCATGAGTATGTCTGTACAGTAAAATGAATTGTTATACGTAGTTAATTTGTTTTTATTGTCTTAGCTGTGTTTTAGTTTTTCTAAATGTTATTTTATCTACATTTTAATACACTCGACATTAAAAGAAATATTAAAAACTTAAATAAAATTTTGGTAGGTTTTGGTTGATTTTGGTAGGAAAAAAATTTGTCCGTGGCAACACTGATCACATATCTATGAATTTTTGTCAAAATAACTTATGTAACTATAATTTTTGCTTTTAGGCGAATGCTACTTAATATTTTTACATCATATAGCTGAAAGAAAGAAATGCTGGGAATATGTTATGAACTGTTTCTTAGATATGTCGGACGCCTATAATAGAGTAGATCTTGTTTCACTTCATAATATTCTTCTACAATGCAACATGACCCATCAATTGCAAACTGGATTATCAACTACTTTTCTAAAAGACATCTGACCCTAGGTAATCACACTGTTGAGATAAACTCTGGCCTACCTCAAGGTAGCTGCCTATCCCCAACGCTATTCAATATTTATACAGCCCAACTGCACGAAATTAATAACTCTCAGACTCAACTATTTCAGTTTGCCGACGATCTTGCGTTAATATTCACTAGCACAAACAGATTCTCTGCAGCTCAAAATTTACAAAACAAAATAGAAGAATTACAGGCAAAATGCGACAGCTTAAATCTCAAATTTAGACTGAACAAAACAAAATTCATGTATATGTCTGCAAACAATAAACAAACCTTTAGCGTATCCATCAACGGCCTAAACATTGAACAAGTCCATCACTTCAAATGGCTGGGAAGAACAATCAGCACGAACTCAACCATTAAGGTACATATTAGTGATATTAAAAGAGCAACAACTACAGGTAAAAACCTCATTTCTAAATTGGCATCTACCAAGTCAGGTATTTCACCTAAAACTTCTATAAATCTTTTTAAAACGTTTGTACGATCCAAAGCAGAATATGCCAACACCAGTTACGCCAATGCCCATAAAGGGTATAACAAACAGCTACAAACCAGTGTAAATGAAACCTTGAGGAGATCCCTCGGAGTTCCTCCAAACACTCCAAAACTCATGAGATACGCACTGGCTTGTGAACTTCCACCTCTTCCCAGAGCTGTATGGCTTACGGCCAAGGAACTTGTCAAACAGTGGTTGATCAATCCTGAACTTAGAACACAGATCCAGAACAGACCTCCCATAAATTCCAGCTACAGCATAACGTACGAAAAATTTAAAGCAATTATCAACACCATAGATACAAATGTAGCTTTCAAAAAACACCATGACCTCACCTGTTACGAATCTGAATTGGCCCAGTCCAAAAAGAACGTCACCCCTACACAACTCAAAGCTCTCTACAACCAAAAAATTAACACGCTAAAAGAGGAAGGTTTCAAAGTGTTTGCCACTGATGCATCGGTATCAGATAACAAAATTGGCTGTGCAGTCTATGTGGTAACGGCTAAAGTCTCAACCTGTTCAATATAGAGAGAAACTTCACATCAACTTTCGGTGAGCTAGTAGCACTTTCTCAAGCAATCACGATAGCCATTAATAATGAAAGTAAAAAAGTAGCAATCTTTACAGACAGTCAGAGTGAAATTAAGGCCCTAAAAAGCCGCACCACACAAAATTTCTTAGTAGCTGAAATCCATAATAAACTTTATCACTCCCAAATAGAAAACATTGCAATAGTCTGGACACCTAGCCATGTGGGTATAACCATAAATGAAAAAGCGGATATAGCAGCAAAAACAGCAGTTGACCATGGTAAACCTTTACTCCCAAAACTCACCCCTTGTGAAGCACTGAGAAGGATTAGCAAAATGTTGTGGACTGAAGCCAAAACAAAATTTACCAACAAACTTCCAAACTGGGACCCGGACATAGTAGAATTTTGCACGCCCAAAGAAAAACAACCATGGTTTAAAAACAAAAACTTGGACTTAGATGCATATGACATAAAACTCTTTAACAGAATCGCAACTGGACACACGTACAGTAGCACTTATCTAACGAAATTTCAGCATTACAGATCAGACAATTGCAGTGCATGCAACATAAAAGAAACTCCTGAACACCTAATATTTGATTGTATCAAATATAACAACTTGCAAAACGGTAATTCTCTTTTCCGAAACTACCAAATTTCAAACAGATTCTTCTCTCAAAACTGCCTGCCACATACAAACAACTGGTCGACTTTCTACATAGAAGTGGGCTAGATAAAGCACTATAAAAAAAGGGTAATATAAAAGAAGACAAAAACAAAAAAGGTATTGAATGAAAAAATAAAACGCAAATAGGAAATAAATAAAAAATTAACTTAGAAAGTATTAAAATATACAAAAAAAAATTGTGTGTTTTATACAAGTGAGATAAAATAAACTTAACCTATTATTTTCACATACTAGTTATATATCAACTTATAACATTCGTTTAAACCAATGTATTCAATGGTCGCGTTCTTAAGACGTAGCTGTTTAGCCCATCTGCTGCGAAACTGCTGGCAACTGTTGAACCCAACAATTACGTCTTAGAAACGGCTTGATGAATATGCTGCCAAATCAACAGCTGATAAATGTAAACAAATGAAATTTCAACAAATAGAGATAGTTGCGCCGATACTATTTAGAATTCAACGCTCAGCGGCCGCCGGGTTGAAAAAATCGTTCAATGTTACAATGAATTAAACAGTGTAAAATTATATAGCAAATATCTTAAAAACATATATTTAGAAACGTAGTATTATTATAAAATATTTTAGTTACTTTATCACGTCAGTGATATAAAATATACACCCCTATGCTGTAATCCGTCGTAGATTCGATTTTGCTACGAATCTTAAAATTGGTATGCTGTAATCCGCGTTGCCGTATCGTAATTTCGAAATTCGGAGACCATCTTCGAAACTCGTAATGTTGGTATGCCTGAATCCGACGTAGCTGTAATTTGTATGTATTTGTCGGAAATTTTCTACGAAGAGCAACTGGTGTCGGAGCGAAGCGAATTCTTTTAAAATATCAATAAAATAAAGTGTGTAAAGGAAAAAATATGTAAGTTACAAGTGTGATTGGAAAAAACTGGATTATTGTTAAATATTTACAAAATTATCAGGTCGAAGATCACAACAAATCGGTCGCAATACGAAAAAATGGTAGAATGCATGACCGAAAGGCCGGACATTGCTCGCGGCTTTGCAAAAGGAGCTAAAGAGGATGTAGTGGAGTTTTGGGAAAGCGTCGCTCAGCAGCTAAACAGCTTAGGCCCACCGACAAAAGATGTATCCAGCTGGAAAAAGGTGCGGATAAAATTTTAAGAGCACAAAATTTATTTATCATTGTTTTCCTTATATCAATACTATTTCTAGGTATGGCTCGATTATAAGTGCTACATTAAAAGAAAGCTTTCCGCCAATAAAGCAGAGACGAGGGCAACTGGTGGTGGACCCAACAGAATGCACAATTTCAATGAGTTGGAGGAAAAAGTGATAGAGTTGACGGGCTTGCACACTTCCACATCGGGGATCAATGGAGCTGTCTCTTTTGTGCAGAGGCGTTCCCCTCCGGTACTTTGGTACAGGAGCAAATAAATTTGCAACGAAGCTACTACCAAAAAAGTTTGGCCTTTTTGGAACGCCAATCTGAGTCTGCAAACGAGCTGGCAGATAACGTGCGACGCATGTACCAAGTACAAGAAAACATGCATGACATGAAGAAGGAAAAATTGCGTGAATTAAAGAGGCACAATATTGAAATGGAGGCCCTTAAAAAAAGGGAGCTTGATTTGCAGGAAAAATTACTGCGGATACAAGAAAGAAGCCAGCAAAAATGAACTAATAAATAAATTTTTTTTTAAGATTTCTTTATTTTTGAATTTAATTTAATTTTGCACTGAACTGCTGATTTTTTAATTTTTTTTTATTTAAAGATTATTGGATTTAAGACTATTAGATTTAAGAATATAACTGAACTAAAGAAGTGAACTAACGTTTGTGATATTTGTATATATGTATAAACTATTAGATTTAAGAAAAGAACTGAGCTAACGCTTGTGATATATGTATAAACCTATTAGATTTAAGAAAAGAACTGAACTTAAGAGATGAACTTACGCTTGTGATAACTGTATATATGTACAAACTATTAGATTTAAGAAAACAACTGATTTTTTTGTATATTTAGTTTTAAGTAAAGAACTGAATTTATTTTAAATTTTTTATATCAAATAAATATGAAGTACAAAGTTATGGGATTGTTTTCATTAGTTAGGTAATGATCTCAAAATTCGCATTCTTATGTCTGACGCTTCTCTGGAAAATTCTGATGGCGCTTCCTCTTCATTTACATCTTGATATTCATCATCCATAATATCAGGTGTATTATCTTCTACGTTGTAGTGGATGCACATGTTATGCAATGCGCATACCACATTAATTATTTGTACCACTTTTTGGGGCGAATAATGTAGTTGGCGAGCACTTAGCAGGCATCGAAATCTATTTTTCAAAACGCCGATGACTCTCTCGACTATGTTGCGCGCTTTACTGTGCGTTTTGTTGAAGGCGCTTTCTCTACTTCCTGCCACAGGAGAACGGAATGGTGTAATTAACCAGGGCTGTAATGGATATCCAGCATCGCCTGTTAAACAAAATATTTTTAGTTATATTTAACACATTTTGCTCTCATTCCACTTATAACATACCTAATATCCAAGTTGTTTTGTCTCCTTGCCGATATCTCTCTTCAAAATAGGTTTTCGCAGCGCTTACATTCCACACATGTGAGTCGTGGCTACTGCCTGGAAACCGAGCATCAACGCACCTTATTTGCATCTTGTTATCGCAAATCTATTTAATAAATTTACGATAAATTGCACGTACAAAATCACTTTGCTCTTGTGGTTTTACTTACCACCATTGCATTTAGGCTGTAGTATCCCATACGATTGTAGTACAAATACGGTTCGTCTGCAGGAGGAAGTATTTTAATGTGTGTGCCGTCCACACACATAATAACGCCAGGGAATTGCGTTCTCCTGTAAAACCGCATTTTGGCTCGTTTATTCTCCTCCTCCGTCATTGACAATTTAATCCATACTGGGCACAGTCGGCGTTCCAAGATGTTTAAAGTTTTTGTCAATGTTTTTGAGAACGTTGATTGCGCCAACCCCACATCAAAATCTTTCCCAACACCGTGTTGGTAGCTTCCTTCAGCGAAAAACCTCATAACTGCCATCAATCTACTTACAGGAGTTACCGATGATGATTTTACACTTCGCCCAAGCTCTTCCTCCATAATTGTTAAAACGCTTTTAAATGCGTCTTTGTTGAGGCGGAAATTTTTTACAAATCTTTAAACATTCAAACGATTATTTTATATGTGTATCAGTGAAATCAATTATAAAACTTACATTTTATCATTTAAGCTAAATGGATCAGAACTGTCTCGTAGCAATCTCCTTTGTATATTAATGCAACAGTTGACTGCAGCATGTTCTTCCTCCTGAGACAAAAGTGCACCGGCCACTGAATCCATTCTATTTTACTTAATTAAGGAAAAGCTTTTTCAAATACGATTCAACAATTTTTTTAATTTCACTGTTCACTTGCGATTCTTTTTATTTTGATTTGTTTCTGCCAAAGCAGCTGATTAAGAACTTCGAATTTCACTATTTTAGTTGGCAACGCCGTTGATAGTTACGATCGGATTACAGCATACCAATTTTCGATTTTTCGGAACGGAGCTACGAATTCGTAACTACGAACTTTCGGATTACAGCATAGGGGTGATAATAATTTTGTTTGCAACTGCCACCTAACAAAGCGGCGTTAAATTTAATATAAGCGGCGTAAGTCTTATCGATCAGCTGTTTAGGTTAAGCCCAACACGTTGAGTTCAGGTAGCGTAAAAATTATCCGCTGGAAAAAATGGCGGAAAGTTGCCAACTGTTGGAGTGAGCGTAACTACTCAACTGTGCGTTTCTAAGACAAACAGCCAACGGTTACCCAACAGCTACGACTTATGAACGCGCCCAATCTGTCAATCTATGTTTGTGTTTTCAGACTTGGTGTATTGTCTTATGTAGTCTTGTGTCGGCCTTAACTGTCATAAAATAAGAATGAGGAAAGCAGCTGTTACGCTAACATCAGCCAGAAAGAAGCAACATCAAGGAGTCGTATAATGAAATACTCTTCAACGCGGAATGTCAACCAAACACGTCGATACACGATAAATGGAAGCAACATTGTCCAGAAGTTTAGCTGAAGGTTATAACTAATCAAACAATCGTTCGCAGATAGACTTGTGTTTATGCTATAGGAAGCTGTAATCCACAGCGTTTGGGACGAATAGCAGTTTGACTTAGAGAGAAACACTATCGTATTCAAATGGTATTAGACAACGAGAACCACCGAATACATCATCGTGGAATAAACAAGGTGATGTCAGTTACATAACCTCACTTTTTTGGTAGCCCCATTTCGGCAATGCATATAATGTAGTAAAAAAGGGGAACATTTTAGGACCATTTTAACGCCCTTTTGAATACTATTTTTAAAAAGTATGTATTAAAGAATTATTTTACCAAAACAACGTTAAAGATAATAAAGAATAGTTGTGTTAGGTTTACCCGATTCTAGTAATATCCAGACGAATTGGTACGAATCTTAATGTTTTGTCGTTTTCGTACGCAAAAACTTATTGAGAGAGCGAAACAGCTGAAGTTCAAAGTTTTTACTGCATTTTTAATGGATAAATTTTTACTTGTAACTTGCCGGATGCAATTTAAACGAATAAGGAAACTGTTTTGTGGGTTTTTATTATTGAAATTGACTAAAAAACCAATTTAAATATAAAATATATTGTTTTATTAGGAAGTTGCTGCGAATAAAGAACCAATTTATTAGCTGTTCATGAAACTTGATAATTATTACTGGATTTGCGTTGCTGTACGTCTTTGAATATTTTTTCTTTGAGAGCGAATTCGCGAAATTAAGCTACTGGAGAGTTGCTGGCGAGTTACTGAATAATTTTTTAAACAAACACAACTACTCTTAGCAAGTTTTATCTTCTTTTTAAAAGACCGATTATGTATGAATTACACTAAGTAACAAAAAAAATAAATTTCTCAGTCCTTGGGATGTAATTGTTATTTCCTAGTCTGTTATGCCTTAAAAGTATGGAAACCACCTAATATTCCTCGGAAACTTTGCTTTTGTGACCAGGACAATGTGATTCATTAAAATATGCTAAAATTATGAGAAAAACGTGTTTGAGTCTTTCACTACAGAGAAAATCATACAGAACAGCACATATAAATCAAGACTAAATTTTATTAAAACTTCAGAAAACCAAAAACATAAAAGTAAATCAGAAGCGGGTGGTTTTTCGACATTTCGACAAAAGTTCGTGACGCTTCCTCTGACATGTGACTTTAACACTAGGATCCAGCAAATTCCACTGCATCAGTCTGGACGTCAAAAGTTCAGCATCGGACTTGGTTAGACCAAGATCTCTGATCAAATCATTCATGTCCTTTTGGTTGGGATAGTATGGGTTTTTGTTATCAGCTAGTAAATTAAATCCTTCACCTTCATTGTCTTCCACACTCATGGAATCAGGGCTCTCACAGGAAGACACCTGCTCTTTCTCTGGAGGAGTAGGAACGGGGCGGTCGGAGCTGTGTGGAACTGGAGCCATGGATGAAGGAATGTCAGGATACATGATTTGACTTGCTTTTTTGCCAGTCCGACGTTTGGAAGGGTCCACCATGCAGAAAAAGCAGTTGCTTGAATGGTCAGTGGGTTCTCTCCAAACTCTTGGCACAGCAAACTTCATAGCTCTCTTTTCCCCTCTGTACCATCCTGAAAAAAAAAATTAGAAAAGAAAAGTACTGTCTAATAAAAAAGTTAATAGAAACATTTATTTTACCCATAACAAAGCAATATAGTTTTAAAATGTCTTACCTTCCAAAGTCCTTTTGCAGTTTTCACACGCGAAATGAGGTGCCCAGGATTTGTCTTGATCACCCACAGGCATGCCGAAATAAGCATTGTAAGCTTCGCACATTTTAAAACCTGTTTCCAAAGAGTGCTTATTCGCTCTTGTTTTGATAAAATATCCGCAGACATAACAAAATGCATCTGCAGGATATTTGCAGCCTCGTGAAGCCATGTTTGAACGAATTTATCTGTAATAAAATAAGAAACAACTCTCAATAAATCACAAAAATGTTGCAAAATTTATTGCGACGACTTTGTTGTTTTAACTAGTGTTGGGTAGTATCGAGTACTTTTGTGTATTTACTACTTTGGTATCGATACTTTTAAGCATCGGGTACTGTCGATACTTTTCAGCATCGAGTACTGAGTACTTTTGGAATCGATACTGCCCAACACTAGTTTTAACACACACAAATGTAGAGAAAACAAGTTGTATGCGCTCGTGTATCAGTTTTCAACAAACAAGCATAAAAATAAACGCAGATAAGCGCTGCCATGGTCACAAAAGCAAAGTTATCTTGCGACAATAGCTGTTTTCTATACTTTTGGGACCTAACTGACTAGGAAATAACAATTACAACCCACGGACAAAAACCTTGTTACATAGTGTTATAAAAGGACTTTCGTAATTTTATTTGTAAAGCACTTGTATTGTAGCCTCTAGTAGGTCAACAGGCACAACTTCCAAAACCTATTAAACAAGAAACGCACTTTTACTGACCGTTTTATTAACAACCTGGCCAATTGAATAAACTCACCTGGAACTTCCAGCACTTATGTATATCGCAGCTTCTCGCTGAGATAAAAAACACAATTCACAAATCAGTGGAAGGTAAACATAATTTGTCTTTATTTGCCACTTGGAATAACTACTTAAAATTGGTTACCTAAATTTATTGCCAAAGTCCGAAAAACCTCCAAAAAATCGCAAAATTAAAAGCTGTTGAATATACACACAAATCACAATTTTTGCAAAAAATATTATATGGGAAAGTCACAACTAAACAGAAATATCAAGGACAGTGATGTTCACTCTTATGTTTTCAGCACAATACCTAAAAGGAGTTTTTCTAGTGTAGTTTTTGTTCAAGAGAGCATCATTAGGAACGGGGCTACCGAATTTGTCAAAATTACAACAAACACCCCCCAACTGACATCACCTTATTTTTATTTCACCGTGTGAATATATCACGTTTTAAGAATCGGCTATTTAAGGTGTATAAACCTAGCCATAAATGGAACTGTTGATTGGTTCCTAAAGCCTTAAACAAAAAATTAAATGATGTAGAATTTTTTGTAGCCTTATCGTTTTTTCTGTACCTCTTTTGGACTTAGTAAATTTGCCTTTAGTTGAATATAAACTTGAAGACGTTGCGTTTTTAATTCAGCTTGCTTCCTATATCCAAATATGAGTTTTCACAAAAGTGGACTTAGCAAGTTTTCACTTCAAGCCAGCGATATGTTAATGAGATGATTATAGGTTTTTCTTTGTAGGAATTTTTCATTGCAACTAAACTGCCAAACATTTTTAGATATTCACAATAATAATTAGATTAAAAAAAGTCCGGAAATAAAATATTCTCGGAATCGGGTTTCGATATAAGTTGTTTCTTCCGATAACTACTCACTACTCGGTTCAATAGTATCAATACCAAAATTACTTGGTATCGGGCGAAAAGTACCGAGTATGCACTTGTATTTATTAGTATCGTTTTATCCCTAATCAAGGCTTCAGAAATGCGGTTAAAGCTAGTAAATTTCGTATTTACTGTATTTTTATTAACGCTGATCTATGTTGTTTTTCATCGTTGCCCTTTTAGTGTACATAAAGATTTATTGAATAATTCTCACTTTAATGAAAGGTATTAGTAACCATGGAATTTAGGAAAATATTGGTCTACAACAATTTTTTTTTTTCAGATCATTTCCAGTTTTTAACATTGCACTGGTTGTATGTGGTCAGAGATTGCAAGAGTCTCTTACCATGCTCAAATCGGTTCTCCTTTTTAGCCAGTTTAGTAGCGGTAATTTACATTTCTGGATTTTCGCCGAGAGTTTGCTAATGGGTGAACTGAAAGATCGATTAAATAATTGGCGAAATTTTGTACACTTTGGTTTCGAGGTAATGCCGTTGACTTTTCCCAGCCACAACCAAAAGGAATGGCGAACTCTATTTAAGCCTTGCTCGTCTCAGCGGTTATTTTTGCCGGTAAAAATATTTATCTTTTTTTAATATTTCGTTGTTTGCTACAAGGGAACAAATGCAGTTGGGCTCCAAATCTCAAAAATAAAAAAATAAAAATATTGGAATCGATAGAGATGATTGAGCTGAGTATAACGGTATACTTCTTTTTTTGGGTAAACAACAACAACAACAATTATCAAAGGTTAAAGTTCAAAAAAAGCTATTTTTGAAATCAAGATTTCTTAAAAATGGATGGATGGATCTTGAAAATTTTTATCTCATTTAATAGGAAATTTTTTTCCCTTTAATTTGGTATACGTACATTATATATATGTTGTATAGTTCTTACAAAAATTGAATCAATGTAAAATAATTATAAAAAAAACACCTTTTGCAGATAACACCTTTCTGCGTAGGCGGCCTTCGGCCGCACTTAGGGATTATAACCCTCACAACGTAGAATTCTCTTTCTGTGTTGCGAAGAAAAGGCACTGAACACCTTTTGCAGGGAACACCTTTCTGCGTAGGCGGCCTTCGGCCGCACTTAGGGATTATAACCCTCACAACGTATAATTCTCTTTCTGTGTTGCGAATAAAAGGCACTGAACACCTTTTGCAGAGAACACCTTGCTGCGTAGGCGGCCTTCGGCCGCACTTATGGATTATAACCCTCACAAAGTAGAATTCTCTTTCTGTGTTGCGAAGTAAAGGCACTGAACACCTTTTGCCGAGAACACCTTTCTGCGTAGGCGGCCTTCGGCCGCACTTAGGGATTATAACCCTCACAACGTAAAATTATCTTTCTGTGTTGCGAAGAAAAGGCACTGAACACCTGCAGAGAACACCTTTCTGCGTAGGCGGCCTTCGGCCGCACTTAGGGATTATAACCCTCACAAAGTAGAATTCTCTTTCTGTGTTGCGAAGAAAAGGCACTGAACATCTTTTGCAGAGAACACCCTTCAGCGTAGGCGGCGTCGCCCGCACTTGAGATTATAACCCTCACAAAATAGAATTCTCAGTGATGCTAAAAAAATTAAAATATTTGAATAGTAAAACACACATTAGTCTATTTACAAAGAAATTTCTATTTCATATTCTTCCTGTTCTTCCTCTTCAACAGGTTTAATACTACACGGATTGTATAATCTCCCTGCCATTTTTAAAAAGGTGCTTAAACGATCCGTATCACAATTTTTACAATTGCGGTTAAACATAAACTTAGCTAAATACCCGTTAAAAAATAGTTTTTTCCGATGATATTGGGGCATCGAGCATTTCACGTGACGCCACAACCCTTCTATCGTATTAGTGTGTTGCTCCGTATCTGGGTCTTTAAAATCGATGGAATGGTTGACTCGAAAGTGAATATACCCCTCCTCACTTAAGCAATCATATGCCTATAAAGATAAATAGAAAGCATATACAAATAATAAAAAAAAATACATGCAAATATAGTTCAAAATGAACATACTTTCCAAAAGTCGGACACAACTATTGTACCGGGCAAAATCCAGTCCTTTATAATTTTCAACAAAGTTTCCTTGTCCCTCTTCTCCACAGGGACCAAAAAGCATCGATTGGTTTCCCTCTCTACTCCACCAAAGACCCATTGTCCTTCCACACGATGCCCACGGTGGTACTTTCGTCGCCCAAACTTACTCTCATCGATTTCGACAACTTTTCCCAGACCTCCAATTTTGTTTTTATTAACAACCATCCCATCATACACAACCTCGCGACAAAAACTACTCCAATCACTAGCCGTATGATTGGATATGCTGAGCTCTTCCATAATGACATCCAACGTAAGGTTCTTGACCCACAAATAAGCGAAAGCTACTATTTTAAAAATAGAAAGCCTCGATTTCGCGAAAAAAGTGTCTTTCCTCAAAGAAATGTAGACATCGCATCTAACATTTTTCTTCTTTCCCTTAATCGCTGTAGTACACCTATTAGTTCAAAATTTAACAAACTTAATTTTCACAACCACAATCTTTAAAAAGCAAAAACTAACCTCCAAACATAACCGTCAACACTTTGTGCACATTGTTTAAGTTTCAACGGATGTCCTTCGGGACACAAATATGTTCCCTCCCGCGGTATCAGTCCCCATTCCTGTAAGGATTGTAGAGTCCTCTCATTGAGCGGACCGTCGATCTTGCAATCAAATAAATCGTATAGCTTTATTAAATTTAAATTTGCCATTTTAAATTAACACTTGTCAAATAGCACGTTATTCCAAAAGCTTAAATTTTAACATAAAGCATACCGCTTAAAAATAACGGTTTCTTTCCAGTTATATATTAAAATAATACACATAGTTGCCAGATATATAAATAAATTAACTAATTTGTACCTAAAATAACAATACCTATGTATACTTACCTATACCTATTTATTTATATATATCAAAAACAAAAAAAACAATTTGTTGTAAGAACTGTACAACATATATATAATGTACGTATACCAAATTAAAGGGAATCAAATTTCCTATTAAATGAGATCAACATTTTCAAGATCCATCCATCCGTTTTTAAGAAATCATGATTTCAAAAATTGCTTATTTTGAACTTTAACCTTTGATAATTGTTGTTGTTGTTGTTTGCCCAAAAAAAGAAGTATACCATTATACTCAGCTCAATCATCTCTATCGATTCCAATATTTTTTTTTTAATTTGGGATTTGGAGCCCAAGTGCATTTATGCCAAAAAGTGGGCGTGGCCGCCCCCTTTTCCGGATTTTAACGGCATTTTTTTTTTAACCGATTTGCAAATATGGACACAGTTGGAAAGGTGATTGAAGGGTCTTTCATTCGATATATATATCTATGTATATATAATAGGGAAATGTTTTTGTGGTGGGAGGCGGGGCCCGCAAATCCTCCCCTACTTGAAAGGGTACAGTCCCCGCTTTCTAAAAAGGCGAACCCCCCTTGGGCTCCTCTCACCGGCCCCTAGGGAACCGTTTGAAAACGGGGGAAAAACGTAATTTTCTTATGCAAACTGAGCAGTTTGAAGTGGAAAATGACCCAACTAACAGAAACCGTGGGATTTTTTAATAAAAGAAATTATGCTAAATTAGATATCGGGCGATTTTGAATAAAGAAAAAAAGTTAATTAAAAATAGAAAAAATAAAGGTAATTCTCTAGTATAGGGTAACAACCCCTAAAACAGATCCGGAAAAGTTGGGAGGGGTACCAAACGACGCGTTTCGGTCTCCCTATTAACAATCCGGAGGGGGAGGGCTAATATTAACCATTGGTTATTCTCTAGTATAGGGTAACAACCCCTAAAAAAGGTCCGGAAAAGTCGGGAGGGGTACCAAACGACGCGGTTCGGTCCCCCTATTAACAATCCGGAGGGGGAGGACTAATATTGATCATTGAAATGTTATAAACAAAAAACTTGTTAAATTTCGTTGTTTTGTAATGGGTAATAACCATGACAAAAATTCTCTAAATCACCTGTTCTCACTTTTTAAACACTATTAATATATATAATTTAACTTAATTATTAAACAAACACATAATTTTATCAACCTAAGGTAGATTATTTTGTTACTAAAATGAAGTTGACAATCTTTGCTATAGTGCTGCCACTGTATTAGTATTTCGTAATAATTCACTTTTCCTTACAAGGTGTGTGCAGTGTTCAATGTTTTTCGGTATCTTGTTTCATATATATTTAAATAATGAAAATTTTCGCCTGCGGCGCTTTTTACCTCCCTTTTATTAGCTCGGGATGTAACTATGTAATATTGATGCGCCTAAAAGATGCAGCGATTTCTATTCTCAAGTCACATACCTGATAACATTACGAATGGAAATTATAATAGCGAGGTTTTAGTTTTTTAAATTATAATTTTTTCCATTAAGATCAATACTTCGATAAATAACTGTAAACCATAAAAGTAGCGCTGCCATGGTATAGCGAAATATGCTATTATATTTTGGTTAGAATATTTTATTTAGGTGAAAGTAAAAAAAGAGGAAGTGTATAGGGTAAACGGAGTGTAATAGCGCAAATGAAATGTTAAATAAAGTGGCAATACCAACGATTTGAGGTTATAATAATTTTGGGTGGCGCAAAGTTTGTTTACTCTGTTTTATTAACGAAATATATAAAATAAAAGTGAATAAATGATTTTGTTTGCATAAAATAATAACCGGAGACATTTTAATAGTTGAAACTGGTGATTTAGAGCATTTTGACGTGGTAATTGATCATAGAAAACAACGAAACTTAACAATAGTTTTTTGTTTATAACTTTTAAATGGTTAATAATATTAGCCCTCCCCCTCCAGATTGTTACTAGGGGGACCGAAACGCGTCGTTTAGTACCCTCCCGAATTTTCCGGATCTTTTTAAGGGGTTGTTACCCTATACTAGAGAATTACCAAAACAAGGTTTTATAAAAATTTTTTTTTTAAACAAATGTATTTTCGCGTATAATTCCTTTCTGCGTAGGCGGCCTTAGACCGCACTTAGGGATTATAACCCTCAGGCAGTAGAATTCTTCTTTCTGTGCTGCCAAAGAAGGGGGGCTGAACACCTTTTGCAGAGAAACCTTTCTGTATAGGCGGCCTTTGGCCGCACTTAGGGATTATAACCCTCAGTAAGTAGAATTCTCCTTTCTGTGCTGCCAAAGAAGGGGGGCTGAACACCTTTTGCAGACATTCCCATGACAGCCGGTTCTACGTACCGGAATGTCTCGGGCTTTTACCCGACCAAGGGCTGTTGTTTCGGCGATCTAACCCCATTTAGGTCGGCGAAGTATCTGAGAAGTTTTTCGTCCATAGGGCTACATTCACTACGTATTCTTCTACTCAGGGCGGTAAAAGTGCACTTTAGCGAAAGGAGGCCAAAATTCAAGAGGGGTATCAACCGACGCGTTTTACTGCCCACAACAATAATCCGAGACCGGAAATTCACATTTTTAATTCATTAAAGAGTTATTCGCAAAAAGCACTTGCACTTTTCGCACTATGTTTTGATGAATTTGACGCAAATAAATGGAGTAAATGAGCTCAACTGAACACATATTCATTACTTTTTATACATTTGTGATGTTTTAAGTGTACACTCTCGCGAAATTCTGTATTTAATAGCAATATTCCGATGGTGAAAATTCGCACAACAATCTTGCGTAGTTGATATAAATAACATGAAGGAAAACTAGTGTTGCCACTCTATTAAATATAAAATGGAACTAAATTGCTGCTGCCACTCTATTAAAAAAGTTTTTGTCCGTCCAACGCCTTTTTGCGTAGGCGGCCTTCGGTCGCGCTTAGGGATTATAACCCTCACAACGTAGAATTCTTTCTGTGCTGCCAAAGAAAAGGGGCAGAACACCTTTCTGCGTAGGCGGCCTTCGGCCGCGCTTAGGGATTATAACCCTCACAACGTAGAATTCTCCTTTCTGTGTTGCCAAAGAAAAGGGGCAGAACACCTTTTGCAGAGAACACCTTTCTGCGTAGGCGGCCTTCGGCCGTGCTTAGGGATTATAACCCTCACAACATAGAATTCTCCTTTCTGCGTGCGAAGAAAAGGAACAGAAATCCCCTTTTCACAAAAGTATATTTCTTGTGCATTATTTGGGTGTTTTTAAAGTTGAAATACAAATTGAATTAATAAAGTGGCAGCACGAGTTTTCCTCCATATTATTTATATTAACTACACAAGATTGTTATGCAGATTTTCGCCATCGGGAAAGTGTACACTTAAATCAACACAAATGTATAAAAACTAATAAATACGTGTTAAATTAAGTTCATTTATTCCATTCATTTGCGTGAAAATCATCAAAACATAGTGCGGAAAGTGCAAGTGTTTTTTGCAAATAACTCTTTAATTAATTAAAAATGTTAATTTCAAGGCTGGGCTCGAGTCAAACCTAGGGCCAGAAATCTACACCTTCTGTGTATGCCAGAGACGACTACACCACAACTCCACCTCAGTCAAGTGTAATGCCTGCGAGGGGTGGAGTCACCTTAGAGTCTGCTCAGGACTACGGACACATCGACAGTGGACCACGACGTACGTCCACCCGAGCAGCCTCACACAGCCACCACAGCACAACAACATAATAACACTACAGACCATACCACAGCCACGACAGACCACATAACACACACAACCGCACCACTACCCACACGCCAACAACTCGTGGTTCCCCCTACAATCTGCACGGTATGTCAGACCAGGATATTCCGTAATGTGACATCAGTTAAGTGCAACACCTGCCTTGGCTGGTGCCACTTTAGGGCATGCTCAGGTCTGCGTACCAAGCGAGATTGGACTGGGAACTTCGAGGGCCCGTGTTGCGCTGCTCGGTCGCAGACCTCAACTGCGACGCCTCCCGCCACCCCCACAGGGCGGCAACCATCACAGCAGCGCACACAGCCAACGGCGGTAAGAACACACACATTCCTTACACCCCACATCACGATACGTCTCCCGAACCACATGCAGCTCCTTCAATTTAACTGCAACGAGCTACCGAGCAAGATTGAGGAGATAACCGTCTTCATGTGTCGGCATGGTATATTGATAGCTGCGGTCCAAGAGACGAAGTTGCACAGCAATTCAACTTTGTTGAATTGTGCCGGGTACATCGTGCACCGTCGGGATCGCGAGAGAGATAATGGTGGTGGCTTAGCGTTCATCGCGCACCAGCCATCGAAGCAGACATCGACCGCAGGGATACCACCCTAGAATGTGAGGGCATTGCTATCCGGTCAGGCTCGAAATATATAACATATACATACCCCCTGTCACCTGCTGCCCGGCAGGATATCACCCTGATATATGTGCGCTCCTCAGAGGTGAAAACCGTATGGTAGTAGGTGACTTTAATGCGCACCACGATCTTTGGCACTCAAGCCTGTCAAACGATCGTAGTGGAACAGACTTGGCTGAGCAGATACGATTCGACATTCTGCACAATGTACGACGACGCACCCACCAGGATTATGGGTAACTGCAGTAGCTCGCCAGACATCACCATAGTCAGCGCTGGTCTGAAAAACAGCATAACATGGCAACCTATGCTGACTTTAGCATCAGACCACCTACTCATAGTCATCTCGATAGATAAACCAACCGACTTTGCCTCCGCCAAACACCGGACTTATATAAATTTTTCTAAAGCTGATTGGAAAGGTTACGCGGAGTTTACCGAAAACACCTTCACCGCGCTTCCCACACCAACCGACGTCCATCTCGGTGAACGTAAGTTCCGCAGGGCTGTCACTGCTGCTGCAGCTCGCTTCATACCGGCAGGATGTATAACGGACCTACGTCCAAGCTTCCCTGCCGAAGCGGCTGTTCTAGCCGATGAGCGTTATAGCCTTCGTCAGGCCGATCCCGAAGATCCCC